TAGTCGACACCATCATGATTGTAAATCTCTCTCCTGGTTCTTTTTTCTCAAATATTAAACTTCAAATCGAAGTTTCCCTTCTCCGTCGTTTTCCTTCTTCCTCTTCTTCATCTGAAGGTTTAAAACCAGAACCTCCTTGAACAGCATGAACACCATCGTTCTTCTCCATCATGGTGTGTCTCCTGATTTCTCTGCTTTGGGTCTAATATTCTGGTTCTGAACTGAAGATGAATCTTCTCCTGTAGACCGGTCGGTGTCTGGACCAGATCAGCCTGTCCGACCGGGTCCTGAGTCTGCATGTGGTCTGGAACACTCTGTATGCTGGACTTGCTGATGGGACCGTCTCCAGCTGTGACCTGAAGGTGAGTGAGGATTAAAGGGCCGTTCAGAAAAAACAACATTACAATGTTTTATAAATATATCAGGATATTAAAAGAGTTTTCCTCCTCAGATGACCTGAAGTCTTGAGGACAGTTCACCTGCTCTGATCTTCTGTCTGTCTCAGAGATAGTTTTAGTTTTTATTGTTCTGGACGTTACCGTGGAAACACGAGTTTTAGTCGACGTCATCCTTCTTAGAACTGAAACACGTCTTCTTCTTCTTCTTCTTCTGTGGTTTTCTCTGTTCGTTTCTCGTTTTAAAATCGACGTTGTTGTTGTTATCGGTGTTGTGCCGAGAAACGTGTCCCTGCAGAGAATTTCATCCACCTCACAAAACGCCGCTCATAGTCGAGTGGTCCGTGGAAACAATATAAACCCGTACGGTTCTTATTTGTGGGATAAACGGCGATGAGGAATGTTCAGCGACAGCGACTCCCTCCGTGTGCAGGGGCGTGGTTTCCTCCTCTCTGATTTTGAATGACGGCTGGCAGGGTCGTCTGATTGGTAACTGAGTAAAGAACGAATGTGATTGGTGGATCGCTGCACATGCAGAGTCACATGTCAGTGTATGTCAGTCAGCTGACCTTAAAATTAGACGAGTTTATTCTCCTCTGACATCGCAGACTCTGACATGTGACTATCACGCACACGTACATCGCCATGACGATGATCGAATGATATATCGTGCAGCCCTGGATGATTGTAGGTTTCACCTTTGACCTGAGCTGTCAGCCTGTTGTGTTTCTGACCCCGCCCCCCAGACTCTGAGGGTCCTGGACGTGTTCGAGTGTCACGGTCGTCGCGGTGTCAGCTGTTTGGCCGCGGCTCAGGAGGGCGCCTGCCGCCTCCTGCTGGTTGGTTCCTACGATGGTACCGTCAGTGTCCGGAACGCCAAGAGCGGCCTGCTGCTGCGCTCTCTGGAGGGTCACACCAAGACGGTTCTGTGTCTGAAGGTGAGGATGAGGATGTTCTCCAGAAGGTCAGACTGAAGAGGAGACCACACCCACATGCTGGTCTTGTCGTTTCAGGTGGTGAAGGATCTGGTCTTCAGCGGCTCCAGTGACACGTCTGTTCGCGTCTTCAACATCCACGTAAGTGTGAGAAGGTCCTGTGAGCGATCCGACGCCACGACACGAGTGTGGAGGGCAGGCGTCGGGAATCTTCAGTGACTTTTTCACTCGTTTGTTTTTATCCTTATTTTCTGACGTTTGAGTATCAGAGTTAATTTAACATCGTTGACTTCAGGTGGAGGCTTCAAATGAACCTTTTGGGTTTTCTGCTTCTCCTTAAACTTCCTTTTCCAATCCGGTCCGCTTTATTTCTACAGTTTATCAAAGTGCTGCACAATAAGATCTAAAAGAACAAACGGAAAAACGTCGAGAGGAAATAAATAAAAAAACATTTAAAATGAAATAAAATCAATGAGATTAAAACACAAAAGCATAAAGAAGTCAAAGTGATAAAAGAGATCACACAGCTCTGCTGCTGAGCTGAGAGGAATAAAAATGAGTTTGAAGACGTGATTTTAAAGATGAAAGAGTCGGCGATGTTTTAATTCTGGAGCCTCAGCGAGAAAGTTCGGTCTCCACGGGTTTTTAACGAGTTTTAGGGACGAAGAGTCGGAGCTGATCAGCTGACCTCAGGGAACGTGTACGGAAGTCAATCTGTGCCATCTGATTTTAAATTAGATTTTTGTTAAAGCTGAATTTTTAAAGACTTTGAATTTTAAAACTATTGAATTAGAAACACGCATTTTTATTTCTGACACTTTTTTTTCACATTGACGAAAAAAATCAGTGTAAAAAAATCTGTTTAGTCAAAAATTTAACCTAAAAAAACTGTAAAAATAGATTCAACTTAAAAAAAAAATTAAGTGTAAAACAGACTCAACATCAGGGAGAACAATCGATTCCTCATTCTTCCACTGGGGGCAGTGTCACATGACCAGTCTGGCATTAATTGATTAGCTGGAAGATAGATGATTGATCCAGGAATCGATTGTTCTCCCCGATTACCCGGATGTTAAGTCGGTCTGTTGTACACTAAATTTTTTTTTTTATGTTGAATTTTTTTTTGACAATTTCTTTTCAAGTTGAATTTTTACTCCATGAATATCATTTTTTTTTTTTAACTAAATTTATTTCATCATTGTGAAAAAAATAAGTGTCAGAAATAAAACTGCGTGTTTGAAATTCAAATTCAAAATCAGATGGCACAGACTGACCTCCATAAACGTGGGGGGGTTTGAACACTGAAGAGGTCAGAGATGTACGGTGGTGCTGATCCGTTTAAAGATTTAAAAACAAACAATAAAATATTAAAACGAACAGGAAGCCAATAAAGGGACGCCAGAATCGTAGTCATGTGGTCATGTTTACGTTGTTAAAAGACGAGCAGCAGCGTTTTGGACGAACTCTGAGCGTGTGAGAGAAACCGGATTAACACCGACGTGTTAAAGAGCGTTACAGTCGACCAACCAGAGAGCGGAAATAAAAACAGGAAGGACTTGTTAAAAATCATTAAAAGATCAAATCGATTAATCCGGGATAAACGCCTCCGATGATAAAACCTGGATCTAACCTCAGAGTTGGTTTGTTGATTTCTCCGTGTAAACGGGAAGAACTTGTCCGAACAGACGCTCATGTTCGCTTTGATCGGGTCGGACGCTCAGAGAGGAGATCATGTGATCGCTCGTACAGGAGAAAGGTCCGTGTTCATGATACCCGTCAGGTTCTGTTAAAGGTTCCCCTCTGCTTCTCCAGACAGGAGAGTTGCTTCGTGTCTACAGGGGTCACGGTCACGCCGTCACATCCATCGCCATCTTGGGGGCAGTGATGGTGACGGCCTGTCTGGATAAATTCATCCGAGTTTACGAGCTCCAGGTAAAAGTCTGAAGGTCAGATGAAGGCTTTGCTGGTTTCAAATATAGATCTATGTGGTACTCTGAGGAAGAACCGGATCATTGGTTCCTAACCAGCTCATATGATCTCCTGAGGTTCTTCTCCTCACTTAATGAGGTTCAGTTCAAAATGGAGGTGAGGTCCTGAACTCTGTTAACCATGAATGATCTCCACCTTCTTCCAGTCCCACACCTGCCTGCAGGTGTATGGAGGTCACAGCCACATGCTGATGTGTATGACCGTGCAAAACGACGTGGTACGTGGACCAACCAAACCGGCCCAGAAGTATCAGTGGGGTCCGTTTTGGAGAAGAATCTTCAGGTATCTGACTTGTTCTGGTTGATCAGCTGTTGTTGGTTCCTCGTAGATCTATTCGGGCTCTTATGATGGAAGTGTTGAAGCTGTGAAGCTGGATCTGATGAAGAACCACCGCTGCTGGGTAAGGAAGGAGAAGAACTTCCTCCAACCTCTCCATGTTCTCCTGTCAGATGTTTAAAGGTTCTCCTTCTGTCCCAAACCTCCACCCTCCTCTCAGTGGCAGCACTGCTCTTTGGTCTTCGCCGTGGACCAGCATCTTCTGCAGCATCTAGTTGAAGATCACAGTCACCCAAATCGGCAGACGGTCAAATGTCGCTGGAGGAACTGCAGCAGGTTCTTCTCCCCACAGACGTCCATCAGAGAGGTGAGGACCAGATCCAGACAGGAACCTTCACAGCTGAGCAGGAACTCTAAACCATCAGGGTTTAAGTCATCCAAAGAGAGGCTCTCCCAGTAAACGTACTCTAATACTATTACTCTGAAACAGGAACTCTGATACTAGTACTCTGAAACAGGAACTCTGATACTAGTACTCTGAAACAGGAACTCTGATACTAGTACTCTGAAACAGGAACTGTAATACTAGTACTCTAAAACAGGAACTGTAATACTAGTACTCTGATACAGGAACTCTAATACTAGTACTCTAAAACAGGAACTGTAATACTAGTACTCTAAAACAGGAACTCTGATAATAGTACTCTGAAACAGGAACTCTAATACTAGTACTCTAAAACTGGAACTCTAATACTAGTACTCTGAAACAGGAACTCTAATACTAGTACTCTAAAACTGGAACTCTAATACTAGTACTCTAAAACTGGAACTCTAATACTAGTACTCTAAAACAGAAACTCTAATACTATTACTCTAAAACAGGAACTCTGATAATAGTACTCTGAAACAGGAACTCTGATACTAGTACTAAAACAGGAACTTAATACTACTAAAACAGGAACTCTAATACTAGTACTCTGAAACAGGAACTCTGATACTAGTACTCTGAAACAGGAACTCTGATACTAGTACTCTAAAACAGGAACTCTGATACTAGTACTCTAAAACAGGAACTGTAATAATAGTACTCTAAAACAGGAACTCTAATTCTAAGTTCTTTCTTTGTTTTTTCCCCTATTCTGCAGGACCTGCCTGATCACATGAAGAACCATGTGGAGAAGGACAGCAGACATGAGACCTGTAAAGTTCTGAGAGTTTAAGACGGTTGAGTCCTGTCATTGTGAATGAAGCACGTGTACACACACACACACACACACATACACACACTCACACACACACACACACACACACACACACACACACTCAGCCTTAAAGATGATGTCAGGTCCATGTTGAGTCGGTTCTTCTCTGTTCTCTGTCCTTACAGTATTTTTGTTGTATTTCACAGTCTGATTGTATTAAAGTGTGTATATGTGTGTGTGTGTGTATATGTGTGTGTGTATATGTGTGTGTGTATATGTGTGTGTTCAGGAATAAAAAGGTATAAATACTCCTCAGTGCCCCCCCTCGCAGTATTTTCTAACCTTGAGTATCTGAAGTTAAACTTCATCCGTGTATCACTGACTGTTTCCATCAGAACTGAGAGGATAAAACCTCAGACCCACAGACCCACAGACCCACAGACCCTCAGACCCACAGACCCACAGACCGACACCGAGACTCGAACGTTTTTATTGAAGACCTGAAAGTTTTTAGTCAGAAAAAAAACCACAAAGAGTCCGAGCAGAAGTGGAGTCAGGAACCACCAGCAGCTTCATCTCTCTGCAGCCGCACCGTGGAGGTAACCCGGGACTCAGGAGTACATGGTCAGCTGAAGCCACTGGAGAGAGGGAGAGAGAGAGAGAGAGAGAGAGCGAGCAAAGTCACATGATCCTTATTTCAGCAGGATAACGTCCGTGTTAAAGTGTTCTTCTAACAGGACTGAAGTTCCTTCATTATATTGATCATCTTTAACCTTCCAGTGAGAAACAAAGAGACAAATCACTGAGTGTGGGAAAGAATTCACAGATCAGTCTGAACACAAACATCCACGTCAGCAAACCGTCAGTGACTCAAGAAGAGCGCCGTGTGTCTCTAACCTCCAGGACGTTCAGTTTGATGACTCCATCACCGTCTTTGTCGAAGGCGCTGAACGCTCCTGCAAGAGACGCAGATCTGAGTGTCTGTGACCGGGGCGGGTTAGTTAGTTTAGTTATTAACACTCATCTAATTAACTAACAGGTTAAAATCGTTGTTTAAAAGCAAGGTGATCGAAAATTATAGAAATAATGATTGAGGTTATGGATTAATTTATATTCTGGATTTAATTTGATTATTATTATTTTTATTTATTTTTTTTCTTTCTTCTGAGTCATCTTTTATTCTTTGTTTTGTTGATGTGTTTTGTTTTTGTTTTCTATCTAACGTGTGGAGTAAGATGTTTTGAATATTTTGATTTAGTAAGAAGGATAGGCGATAATAAGCTTTTGCTTCAGCCTATGCCTTTTCGGTCTGGTTTTCTTTTTCTTTTCTTGTAATTTACTGTATATATTGAATGGATATGACCAGATCGAAATAAACTTCAAACTTCAAACTTCAAAATACTTATGTAATCAGCTGACGGGTTAGTTATGTTAGTTCCTCGTTGAATCAGCTGATCAGTGTTTATGACAGGTCAGTTCTTGTATCTAAATTTAGTTTGTTTTTTCACGGTCAGTCCGGTTTCTCTCCTGGTACGTACTGAACATTCCCTCCAGCCTCACAAAACAGCAGATGTAGCTGTCGAAGTCGATGTTCAGGTGTTCGTCTGCGTAGCGCATGGCGATGATGTCGTATAACTGGTTGTTGAGGTGAAACCCTTCATGTGGAGAAGAAACCAGACCAGAGTTTGAGAGGTGAGCGTCTGACTGAGCGAATTTCTCATTCTTACAACAATCGTCATATTTTCTTTTAAACTCACCTGCTTCATTTACAGCGTTCCTCATCTCAAAGCTGCTGATGGAGCAGGACTTGTTCTTCTGATAACGTTTAAAGATCAGCTGCAAAGACAGGAGGAGGATCCAGGGATGAGGATGGAACCTTCAGGCTCCTCAAACAGGAGCTGAAGAACTGATTCCTGTCCTACCTGCCAAGCCTTGATCTTCCTCCACAGGTGTTTGAACTCCTGCAGGTTCAGCTTCCCCGTCCCGTCAGTCTGGTCAGAAGGTCAAGAGATAACAGCCCGTCTGGTCGAGTTATAAAAAGGTGCTTTTATTTTTATGATGATGCTCTTATTTTGGCGAGAACTTCAGATAAAGTCCTGGTTCATAGAGGAGATTTGAACTGAAGGACAAATGTGAGTCATGAACCTGTTTTCTCTTCTCCTCCTCTAACTGTTGGTGTTTCTACTTTAATCCAAGGTTCTGACATGTGGAACAAACGTGTCCTTCAGATTCTAACGGGTCAGAACAATGCTGCTCCTACAGAGAGAAGATCTAATGCTAACAGAACCAAGATCAGGATACGTCCATCAGGGCGATCATACTGCGGCAGGTCTCCAGGCTGAAGCCCTCACTCTGGATCTCACTGTCTGTGAAGGAGAAGAAGAAGAAGAAGAAGAACAGTTGGACCCAAATCAACAGAACCAGAACCAAACAGCTGACCAGAACCTTTCAGTCTGCTCACGTTTAGAGAGAACGTTCTTCATCACCGTCTTCAGCTCATTGGCACAGATCTGCATGTCCTGGTGGAGAGACCAAAACATGAGCTGATTAGACTCAGAACCGCTGCCAACGTGGACCAACATGGACCAACATGGATCAACATGGACCCAACAAAGACCCAACATGGACAACATGGACCAACATGGACCAACATGGACCCAACAAAGACCCAACATGGACCAACATGGACCAAACAAAGACCCA